GATGGGGCTTGTCCCTGCAGCCCCGGCTCGGGGGTGCCCCGCCCGTCCGAACTGCCCGGGAAATCCTGCTGGGGAGCGAGGGAATTGGGTTAAAAAGTGGCGGAGAGGAGGGTGTGGGGCTGGGGCTGAAGCACTGGGTGAAAGAGAATGAAAACCCCTTGGCAAGATTCCTGCCCTTCTTCCCGTGCAGGAACGGGGTGTCGATCTCTTTCTCCCTGTTCCGTTTTTTGTTTGTTTTCTAGGCATTTCTTGCAGGCATTCTCACTGCTGCTTTCAGTCTCCTGTAGCCAGCCCTGGCTTTCCCCTCCTGTCAGCCAGGCTGGTTACGGGGTAACCAAATGATCACAAGATCAATAACTGGTTGCCAGAGCCAGGTGTGTGTCCCACGCCTCCCGGGGCAGGAACCACTTCATGAAGCTGCTGCTCTTGTCAGGACAGTGTCGAGCTGCTAGGGCTGCTCCTCTGCCTTGCCAGCAGTTACTTGTTCTTTGAGTTAATAACCTCTGTGAGTAACAGTTATGTGCTGGTTTATTTTCCTTCCCAGGACATGGACTAAATTAGGGAAGGATTAATACTGGTCCCTGCAGCACCCCCAGGGTGCATAAACCTATGGATGTGTTAACACAGCCACCTTGTTAGTAGCCCTTTGGCTAGTTAGGAGAGGGTGTCCCATTCAGACTTAGAGATGGGGTTTTTTTTGCAGATTTGGGTTCATGAGCCAGGCTCTCAGATCCTTTGCCGCTGCTGAGACATTATGGTGGTCTTCATGGTGACAAGACAGCACCCAGGTGCTTCATCCAGGCATCAGTGCTTTGTGAGACCTTGGGCTCTGGTTTCCAGGGTAGGAGAAGCAGGAGAATTGGTGCATGTGCTCAGCTGACTGTGACTGACAGTGTCTCAGCTGGTCCAAGCTGCTGACCTCAGGAGGGTGAGGGGGTGGCAGGGGATGTGCTGTCTGATCCCTGCAGGGCCATCGGCTCTGTGTGAGGGGCCTGGAGGTGTTTGAAGGAGAAGCAGGGAGAGCAGACTCGCCCTCTTTGTTTGCTGGTAGGCTGAAGTAGCCCTCACACAGGTGGGACATGGGCTTGTGGTTTCACTTATTTGAAGTTGTTCTTGCTGCTGTTGACCTTTTCAGAAGCTGGAGGAGGCCCAGAGCCTGCAGCTGTGCTCCCTGCACTCGCCAACATCTCTGGCTTATCTCCCCGCTGGCAGAAGGACACTGGTGTGGACACGGCTGAGCTGTGTTATCACAAGGAATGAGGAGACAAGCAGGAGTGCTTGTGTGACAAGCTGAACTTCCTGCACATTCCCTCTAAGTCCATGGTGGGAGAGAAACATGTCCTGTTTCACACAGCTGAGCAGAATTGGACAGTTCTGTTGTGTTTTCCTGCATTCCAGTGCTGTGTGTTCCTCTCTCTGCATTGCCTGGTGTTTTTTCCTTTTCATATTTAATTGTTTTTTTGCTCTTCTCTAAGGCTTGTGGAAAGTTCTGATCAAATGTTTATACTTAAGGCTTTAGTTAAGTTAGTGAAGGTGGTCAGGCTGTGTACAAGTGGTAGGACACAGGAAATTTTAGGTAGCAGAGATATGTTTAGAGGGATTGTCTGTTGCCTTTAACTTATGTTCCAGGAGCCCCCAAGTTAGGCAGGTGTGCAGGGCTCTGAAGAAACACTATAACAAAAACCCTTGCTTAGTCCAGAGAGTTTATTGTTTGGTTAAGGAAATGTTTTGGGCAGATGAGGGACCGAAAGGATAAGGATACAAAAAAAAAAAAGTGTGTTAAGTACTATGAACAAATAAGAAAAGGAAGAAGGTAAAGATGGCTTTATGGGACAGGAAGGAGTGCTCTGGGGTGCAGAGTGGTGCTGGAGGCACTGTGGAGGTGGTTGCATGGGGCCTCTCTGAACTTTTTGGTGCTGTTCTCACCATATCTCCATGGTGAGACACCGACAACCCCTGTGTACAGCTTTGTTTCACTTCTGGGATCAGAAAAAAAAGTCTTTCTGAACTGCTCTTGGTGTTGGAACCCACCAAGTGGGTGACAAGTCGTGGTGGACGCTCTGCAAAGGGAGGAGAGGCTGTTCCTGCTGCCGGTGTGGGGTTTCCTCCCCAGCAGCATTTGCATTACTTGCTCTAATTAAGCTGCTGTTTAATCACCTGGGACTTACCCCAGTTACTTTGTTGTGGCTTTGCTGTCTCGCTGCCTCTGTAAATGGTCTGAAACATGAGCATAAAAATGCTGGTTCTTTGCTTTTTCTTGCATTTGTTCACTATTTCCAGTGACTTCTGGTTAAATTTCCTACATTCTAATTCAGAGTAATTTTTTTCATTTCAAAACTAAGATTGTAATTTCTCGTTCAGATATTGTTTTAATTCCAGTACCAGGAGTTTCATTGCACTCCCTGGTACTTAAACCCAGACCTTCTCTTCGTCTGTTTTCCTTAGCACTGGATAGCAGGGGCCGGAGAATGGAGTTCTAAGACTCTGGGACTTTGGAGGGTAAAGAGCTTTGATCCAAGGAATCCTACTATAAAAAAGCAGAAGAGCTCAACAGTTGCTTGGTTGTGCAGCCAAGTGTAGAAATGTACCATGTCTATAGAAATGTTGGGTTAATGTTGGCAATGTGGACACATCCAAAGATGTCCACACATTAGAGCCAACCTTCTTGGAGTAAGCACAGTGTTTAGAGGCAACTGTAGCACATTTAACTTTATGGTCATCTTTAAGGTGATGAACTTGAACCATAGCAAAGAGACGAGATCATGTTGTTTAAAATGCCACATGGTTGTTCTTGAGCAGAAGCAGGTGGGGTGCAGTCAGGGCATGAGTTGGTATGTTGGAGCGTGGACTTTAAGGAATGTTAGAAGATTAGTTGGGTGGGGGCGTTAAGGTAACAATCCAGCCCATCTGTCAGTTCCAGGCTTTGCACTGGAATAGCCAAGCTCAGTTTGCTTACCCATAAGGGGTCAGATCTGGGGTGCCTTCTTCAAAGTCCACTGTTCCTGTGAGACCTTGCGGAGAGAGAGGCTGCTGCATGCGCATAGCTTATGTGTTGTTGATCTTCATAGTTTTGGAGCATACATGGGAAACACTGAACATGGTTTGATATTTCAGCCCAAAACACCCCTGGGATACACCTTCCCTCTGGTTTGCCCGTGGAGGTTCTCAGGGTCCCTTGACAGCTGCCAGAACCAAGATGTGTGTCTGCCCTGGAGAAGTGGTACCTGGGTCTGTCCTTTGGTTTTTGTGCTGTTAGTTGACTGGTCCTTGGTTTCAGTGTTCAAATGACACGTGGGAGAGACCAGGCTCTCTGCCTGGCTTGTCAGGCCGGCCCACATGGCACAAAGAGCAGGAAGGAGCCTTTGTCACAAGAGAAGGTTTTCCAGCCCAGTTGTTTAGTCTCACAAGACATGATGATCCTTCTCTTGTGAGGCTGCCTTGTGTTGGGCTGCTGGGGTGGACAGTGGTTGCTTGTGACTTTATGCACCAGGACAAGCAAAGGCAAAGCCTGCAATTGGTGGAAGCCATGAGGTCTGGAAGGTACTGGACCTTCTGGCTTCACCAGAGTGGCTTTTTGGGTTGCATGGCTCTTGTTTGGGGAAGAGAGCACCAGGGGGAATGACTGAACTCCACAGGTGACCTTAGCCAGCTACGTTTGTCTGGGGCAGGGGGGAAGTTGCTGCTGTGTCCCAGTGTCACTTGTGTTTCTGTGGTGACATTCAGCTCAACAGCGCCCAGCCCAGGCCCAGCTGAGGTGGTGGAGCACAGCTTGCTGCCTTCTGTTCCTCAGGGGCCATGAGCTGCTACAGTAACACAGGTCTTACAGTGAGCAGAGGGGTTTGATTTGGGCTTGAACTCAGCCATATCTAGAGCTGTCATAGTGAGGGTCTGCAGGGGTTTCTAGTGCTATCACCTGGTGACAAGGCTGGGTCACTGCTCCAGCACACCGTAACACTAATGACCCACAGCCTCTCCTTGAGATGAGTGCTTGAGAATATCAGGAGAGTTTCTTACTGCTTGAGCTCTCCATGCAGGTTTGAGAACCCCTGTGTTAATGCTCGTTGCCTCCCTGCCCCTCTCTTCTATTTCTGTGGGCTCTGGTACAATCCAGACCTTCTCTCTCTCTCTCTTTCAGGATGCACACAACTGCATACCCGAGCTGGACAGTGAGACAGCCATGTTCTCTGTCTACGATGGACATGGAGGTAACTTCACCTGCCCTTCCTTCCAGAGTCCCTTGGGGTGGCCCTCCCAGGCTGCTCAGCAGCCACTGGGGCAAGGATCTGTCTATCATCAGAGACCCTCCTGCTTCTTGGGAAGCATTTTTTGATGCTTTTATTGACTAAGGTCCTGAAAATGTCTTATGGTCTCTAGAAGGAACATCATGGGTTGTTACAAAACTGAAATGGGATTTTTGTTCCATCTTCTAATGCTTTTAAGAATGGTTATTGTCTTGGTGGATAATCTAGGATGCTCACAGAAGAGTTGTGGGAAGAAAAAATATATGAGATTGGACCAAAGATCCATTCCATGGCATTCCTTCCCAGCTCCCATTCCCCATGGAAAGGCTCCCAGAGCTAGAGACTACAGCCATTTGATCTTACAGATATACTTGAGTCATCCTGATGAACTCTTCATGAACTTCTCTAACTGCATTTCAAACCAGGTTTAAGTGTCTGGTGATTATGTGCGTAGGATGTTTTGTATAGAACCTTATGATTTGAAAAAAGACTTTGTTCTGAATCTGCTGCCTGATCATTTCACTGCAACATTCCCAACACTTGAGGAACTAGTCAGTAGTCACTCCATTAGCACTTTCCACTTCAATAACTTTGGATTCCATGTTCTTTCTTCCAATCAGAAGAGCCCTAGACTTGACATACAGCCAAGCCTGTGCCATGGAGCACCAGCAGCACCCAGTGTCTGGCCCTGAGGTCTCCTGGCACATGCTGGTCACACCGATGCTCTTAAACTGCCTCAGTGTTGAGTGTCATGTGGCTGCATCCAGGCTGGTCCCTCATTCCCACCAGGTACTGAACCCTGTCCAGAAGGGACACCCAGATTGCACCATGGAGCATTCTGGTCACTTCTAACATAGGTGACGATGGTCCTGGGCCATGGAACTCTTTTGGCTACAGCTGTTGGACGTAGCCAAGGATTCCAAACGTTATGTTGGCCCACAGGTCTAATTATATTTGTCTGGGGTTTTTTTGTTGGGTTGTGGGTTTTTTTGACATAGTCTGGCTCTGCAACATGCTCAGTTACACTGAGTAGAGCAGCCCATAGCTTTCAGGTTACAGATAGACCATGGATTTATTGTGATGTGTGTTCAGCTTTGCTCAGTTCCTTCCCTAGCAATTCCTGACAAGGTGTTGGCTGGGTTGATACAAATAACCTGTCAGCTGACATTCTTGGAACTGTGACCCCAGTTCCCTCCAGCTCTTTCCAAAATGTTATAGATGGTTTTGAGTCTATCTTATGGGTACATGGAGGTCAGTTGTCTTTTCTTTTTCATGTTCTTGTCTTTGTCAGCTAGGAATTTCATCTGCCAATATGTAAAAGTGCAAGATCTTGTTGTCAATTTTTGCAAATTATTTTAGTTTTTATCATTCTGAGTGATCTATCACTTGTTACTGACCTCTTTTCCAGATTATTTATTTAGCTGTTGAACAACATAAGTCTTCAAGGAGCTCTCCCAGGGGCCATCCTCCGTTTTGAAAACTGATTTGAAAATCTATATGAGTAGACCAACTAAACCACCTGTTTGCTCCTTCTCATTGACTCCTTGAAAGAACATTGACCACTTTGTGAAATCTCTGCTGTATATTCAACCCCTGCCCATCCTGCCATTTGTATCAATGTATCTGCTAATTCTGTTTCTTGCAATTGCTACCACTTGCTGTGCTCACGTACCAGGTCTACTGGTCTGTGTGTTGTGAACTCAGTTTCCACCGATCTCTGAGACTTTTTAATCTATTTATTTTTTTACATGGTATGTATGCTTTTTGTTTCTCTGGTACTGGAGCAGATGCAAGTGGAAGGTTACCTACCACAGTTGATAATCTCTCACTTCCCTTTAGAACTGAGTTATCTGCTTCTGCCAGTTTGTAAAAAAGAGTTTAAGGCCATTTTTTTTGCAATAGTCCTTATTTGAAAGGTCAGCCTGAGTAGGTAGCAGACTAGTAGCTCTTCTCAGTCTGAAGCATCTAGACTGAATGTTTTGAAATTATTTTCCTCCTGAACTTCATCTTAGCATGTGCAGAGACACGGGTGGAGCAGCTGTTGGTACCCTGAAGATTGTATTTGAGAACATTGGGATGATGGGTTGGTTCTGAAAGGCTGAGAAGGACTAAGGATGTAGGGATTTAACAACTATTCAATTTCACATTATTTCTTGCAGAAATTCTGAAACCATTTGTAAGCATCTAGCAGATATGAAGATAAGTAGCATCTGGCAAAAGCTGGTCAGGAATGAACCAATACCCAAGCAATCTTTTCTTCTTGAAGATCAGTGTGTTCATTCCTCAGTTAACGGGAAGGTCTGTTTCATGTGTTGGGTTTTAGAAAGACTTCGGACACTCTTAGGACATCCCTGTTAGTGTCAGACATGAAGTGTTGTGTGGTTTTTTTCTTTAACTACAGTAGGATATATTCTGGATAGGCATTATGGAAAGGCATTAATCAGAGTGGCAAAGCACTGCCATGGTTTTTTAACTTGTGTTTCGGATTTCCAGTGATTGAATCTGTACAGCTCTTCCTAGGCAAACGTTACCAGGAAGGACACGGATATAGTTGAACCTGACTCTGAAGATCAACATTTGCCCATCCCTACTTTTATATGATTTCTTGCTGCATTAGTTCTTTAGTTTCAAACAATTCCTCAGGTCTGTCACATGTAAAAGAAGGTTTTGGGGTGGGAACCTCTCTAAGCTTTGTTACCTGCCAGTGCAAGAAAATGAATTTACCTTTTCTTTTATACCTTGCTTAACTGTCAGCCTTAAACCCTCCAGTAAGCTTCCAGCTGCAGGTGTATTGGGAAGAGGTTTTATTATTGTGTTCCTTGAAAAAGGGTGGTTTGGGTTGGTTTTTTGATATTTAGCTTTCCATTTCACTCCTCAGTTTTTGTCTTACGTTTTCCTCCTGTGGACAAGACTTTCAATTTGTGAAAGCTGCTGCTGGTTTTTCTATTCTAGTAGCCTTCCCCAGTTGCCTTTTTACTTGCCTTGCCCCCCAAGTCTTGGAGAAGGATACAGGGGTGCTCTGCACCTCCAGTGTGGGATCTCACTTTTACCATCGACACACGTTTTACCCTTTTTAGCTGTTTCTTTTCATTTCCTTTTAATACGTGTCTTCATTTACACATAACTCCCCCTTTTCAGAGTCACCATCATCATAGTGAGATTTTTTTTTTTTTTGCTCCCAGCAGGATGTTTAATTGATAACAACAAACCCTGTTGTAGTTTTGTTCTAGTTTGCATGCAGAGCAATGGATCCCCCTTGCCCTGTTCTTGGTCATCTTGCCTTCTTACCTGCCCTAGCTTTCTGCCTCCCTGTCACTGTTTCAGGGTGGGAACTAATGCTCTGGTCTTTAAATGTTTTTTCCTGTTTTGGCACAGTATTTCAATTTGCAGGGATTCTGGGATAATTTTTGCTAGTTAGTTTATTTGTTATTTGACTCTAAGCTTGCTTTATTTTATATTCAAATGATGTATGTGTGTCTAAATACAGACCACATCTTGGAGTGGGATCTTCTTTAAGCCTTGTGAAGATGAGGCAGGATGGGTTTGTGCACGGACATGCACAGAAAAAGATCTGATCTAGGAACCTGCATCTCTGGAGGCCTTTTTCTTGCCTAGGTTTCTGCCCCGAGGCTGCCGCCCGCTCTTGTCTTTACACGTCCCCTTCAAACCTGTGCTGCTGGGAATAGAGCAATCCTACTGCAGTGAGGTTCCAGCTGTGTCCCAGGTACTCTAGGAGCCAGCCTTGCCTGCAATGCCAAGATAAATTGTCTTGGTTCCAGGTTTCATCTGAGTGTGACTCCTGCCGTTAGCGCCAAATCGGGTGTAGTTGCTGGCAGCAGCATCGAGCTGTGCAAAAAGAGAACTCAACTTTCCCAGCTGTGCTTTCATTTTTCTGCGTGGCCTGTCAGACCATCTGAAAACTGCAAATGCAAAAGCAGCCTCTTCTTAACATTCTGTAGGAACATACAAGCATTCACTCTGGACAGTCCTCCAGGTAGTTACTTTTTCACTGAATTCACTGCTACATGTTACCTGTTTTACTTGAGCCTCCCAAAGACCTTCTGCTACTGCAGCTGTGTGGCATTAAGCAGGAGGCCTTGGCATTATTTACCTGGATGCTGCTCCTCTAGAAAACTTGAAAGAAGTGATTCATGGAGACTTTGAGAGTTTTATGATGGGTTTCACCCTGGAGATGTGGACGATGTGCTCCTGGGTTCATTGTTGATTATGTATGGTGGTTATATGTGAGTAATTGTATTCTTTAAGGTCCTATCATAGAATCACAGACTGGTTTGGGTTGGAAGGGATCTTAAAGATCATCTAATGCCCCCCCCTGCCACCAGACCAGGTTGCTCCAAGCCCCATCCATCCTGGCCTTGGACACTTGTAGGGATGGGACAGCCACAGCTGCTGCTCTGGGCAACCTGGGCCAGTGTCTCACCACCCTCTTAGAATTAGAATTTCTTCCTAATGTCTAGGCTAAATTTGCCATCTTACAGTTTAAAGCCGTTCCCCGTTATCCCATCACTCTCTGCCCTTGTCAAAAGTCCCTCCCCAGCTTTCCTGGAGCCCTTTCAGGTCCTAGAAGGTGCTCTAAAGTTGCTTCAGAGCCTTCTCTTCTCCAGGTTGAACAACTCC